GTTGGTTTTTGTTTGTTTGTTTGTAGGTTGTTAGTAGGGGGAGGAACGGTTGAAAACACGTATTTGTATCTATGTGTGGCAAGGATTCGTTGCTAAAAATCCCGGGTGGTCACCCATCCGGGAACTATCAACGCCTGCCGTTACGTACACTCAGACTTCAGTATAACTTATGAGTTGCGACAGTCGTGTATGATGGTAAACTATATTAAACTATTCTTCTGCGTATTGTGTTAATTTAGTTGTGTACGGTGTACCTTTCCTACCTAAATTAAAATTTATTTTTTCGTGACGCGTGTTTACATTAATCCTTCAATTTGAGTAAAAAATGACTTGTAAAAAAAAAAAAAAAAAAATGGGTGGTGTGGCTAAAAATATAAAATTACCTCACACCGCTCAAGAATCGAAAACAATTTCTGGTAGGTACGCGTTTAATAAAAAGACGTAACTTGAAACAGTAACCAAACAATACAAAAAATAAATAGGTATTATAATTTAAAATAACTAGCTGATCCCGTGCACTTCGTTTCCCGTTAAATGTACCAACTTTATATGACTCAAACATTGTTCAATGCGTTATTTAATATTCGGTGTATGATGTTCTAGATTTATTTTAACTTTTCTGTTGCCCGGAATAAAAATTCTGAATTGTAGCAGTACATTATCAGATAGGTAATTTACCTGCGGTAGATCGCGGACCCCGTGCTGTTTGTACGTAAGTGTATGATTTAACTCAAAAAGTACCAAAGTTATACCAAGTTTGACGTTTTTACTTAATTCCACCTACCTATAACCTAACCGTACCTATAACCTAACCTATCCGATGAATAAAAAAAACCAAATTTAACCCTTTTTAAATTAGCGTATATTCTTCCCATAGGTCATTCATTTATATATAAGATATATTTACAAAAAATAATAATACAAATCAACAAACATGCCGGATTAACCAATAGCAACCAATATAATATAATACACCATAGAGTAAATAAAGACAACGGTATCGAGTTCAAATCCCAGACATCAATAAATAGTTTTTGCAGTTTTTCTAATTATTCGGTTGATTTTTTAAAAATTTTCTTTCGTAAAAACCTTCACCTGGCAATTACGAACATCTTAAAACAATTTGAGCAAAATCGGCCAAGCCGTTCTCAACTGATGCAATTTCGAATTTTTTGTCTCCATTTTTATATATATAGATATTAATTCGTAAATATATCGTATACCTATGGTGTATAGGCGATAAGTGATGAATCAGGTAAAATTGATTTATAGACGATGCAGTTGAAATATTTTCAAAAATAAAAAAAAATGAAGATATCGTTGAATAAGCTACTAATATTTTTCTTTATCAATAAATATTGCCATAATAGTTGGTAGACTCTTAATCGATATAGGTGTACAATTGTTTTTATAAAATATCTGCCACCGTCTATTTGAAAATGATATTACCTACCTAGTTAATAAAAAGGGTAGCATAAAAAATGTAGATACAATAATGGGCGAAGCGAGCGGTTTTTTTTACATATTCGGGCTGGTCAAAACCTTTGCCCCCCTCTTTTGAAAACTGAAATGACGCCAATGTGCAAATCTATGAGTTATAGGGCATGTGTGTATGGCGAATTGGATGCATGACCCGTCGCATGCCCTGTTCGTGCAAAAAGGATAAATGCAAAAACGAAAACGGTAATTTTGTGTCTATAGCTTTCAGTCCTCAACCGGTACAAATTTGTGCGTTTACTGGGCATACCTACCTCCTGACGTCGATTGTCTGATATTGTATTATTGTAGGAGAAAATGTTAAAGCCGAATGTCAATTGAATAAAAAGGTTAAGTAGTCGATTCAAAGGCAACCATACTTCCCAGGTATATAGGTCGTGTCTGGTTGCGAACGACCTGTGCATACCAAATGAAATTAAAACGTTCCATAAAGCTAATTAAATGCTCTAAATTACTTATATAGACACCTGTAGGTGTGGCGTACCTATCATAACATTATTACTGTTCATAAGTACTTATTAAGTACAGTTAAATGAATATATGTGTAGCCTATAAAACATCAGTTAAATAATATGTATATAATATGTGTGTTGTGCATATTATGCTTATAGTTTTTGGTTTTTAAAAGTGGTTTTAATACTATCAATCACAACCTAACTTATATTACAACATATATATATCAGATGTTATTATAATTATAAGTTTGCACAACTCTCCTTTAAAATGGAATGCATAGGCTCGAACAAATTACTGCTGGTACTATTGGTTAATTAATAATACTAAAGACAACATTAATTGTTAACCAATGGCTTATTGTAGGTAAGGGTAGCCTAAAGGTATAGGTATTGCAATAAAATAAGTAAGAAAAAAAATGAAACTTTTCAAATGTAGTTACTAATTAAACATGGGTATCAATTAATGTTATTATATTTATTTTAATATAACACATTAAACTCAATACAATTAAAATTATAATAATAAATAAAAATTATATAAAGTAGTATATAAATGATATGTATTATGTATAATACATTTTTGCATGCCAACCACATAAAAATGATGACAAATAATATAATATTTTAAGGATAGTTACACCATTTGAGGAAGCATAATATATATATTATATAATAATAATACATCACATGTATTATATGTAGTTTTCTTGTTTTGAAAGTTGTTTGAAATTTTTCAAAAAATAATATTAATATCTGTAAGCCAATGTAAAGGTTAGTATATATAAAAATATAAGGTGTGAATTGCAGTAATTAAACTTGGTAATATATATATATTAGTATAACGTTACATGTGTGTTTTAAGAAATTGACATTGTCTTAACAATCGACACACCAACTCCCACTAAAACTCTTAGCTTTTTAATAAATGTACTGCAAAATGTCTATCCAATTTGTGCATTCAAACTACTTATATATGTATATTTTTAATATTATTGATATACATATTTTAAACAATAATGAAAGTATGTGCATTCTCATAACAGTGTAATGTACCTATATTTATTGTACATTACATTTGCTTAGGTAGGTTAATTTTTAAATTATTAAATTAAATAATTATTACATTGCAAAGGTCAAATGATATATATATATATATATGCATATAATAATAATAGTAACATTTACAATTTATTACAGCGAATATAATAATTAAGTTTTAGAAGATAGGTTTAAAACGGTGATATATATAAATAAAAACAATTATTATTTATAATAATAAAGTCTAAAAAAGTAGAATATAAATGATACCTATGTATTTATTAATAATATATATAAACCATGTATAATACATTTTTGCATGCCAACGACATGATAAAAATGTTGACAAATATTACAATATTTTAAGAATAGTTTCACACCTTTGGAGGAATTTAAATTAAATTAATTATAATTTTATAACATATAATATGTATATGTAGTTTTCTTGTTTTGAAATTTGTTTGAAATATTACAAAAAATTAATATGTGTAACCCAATGTAAAGGTTAGTACAGGTATAAGGTATGAACTGAAGTAATTAAACTTGGTAATACAATATATTAGTATATATATAATATAATATTACTTAACATGTATGTTTTAAGAAATTGAAATGTATTGAATTTATTGTAGTCTTTTCATGTTTACTTATTATTACTTACATTATTATGTATGTAACGACATTGTCATAAACAATCGACACACCAAGGTCCTACTAAAACTCTTAGCTATAATAGTTAAATGTACTGCAATACTCGTGAAAAATTATATCTAATCCGTGCATTCAAACTACTTATATTTTTAATATATTATTGAAATGCTGATTAATTGCGGCTTCCACAACGCCCGGAATCGACTTACACAGGCAGCTAGTAAATATAAAATTTACGGTACGATAATAAAATTCAAAATAATATAACATTTACAATTTATTAAAGCGAACATAACATTTTAGAATATAGGTTTAAAACGGTGATATAAAAACAATTATTATGTAGTAGTTATGCAAAGAAAAAATTTAAAAATTTGACTAATGAGTGATAATTGGCCGGCATTCGTGTTATATGGAGATAGGTATTAGATAATGACGTAGTGCCGGCCGGTCCAACTCGACCACGGGTAGTGTTTGAAAATTTCATGAAATTTAAAAAAATGAAATATTTCAAAATATATGAAATATTTCAGTATTTTAGTATATTTTGTTTTATTTTTAAATAAGTTTTATATTTACATATAATTGTCATAAATTACCTTCATCACTACCTATATGGTACCTGTATGTATTCCTAACCTTTGGTATTATACATTTAAATTGGTATTCATAATTTTTAAATATTTTAATGTTTAAATGATACAAGTAGGTATACATTATTATACATGTTTATTGTATACTTACTGAATTCTGACATTAGAATTTAGAACGCAGAACATTGTGTTAAAAAAATAAATAAATAGTGTTTTTATTTGTGTTAAAAAAAATTTCAATGTTTCACGTTCTTGTGAAATATTTCACAACTTAGTGAATTATTTCATGAAATATTTCTCATACTTCAGACACTAACCACGGGTACTAGGCAGCGGTGATGGCGTGTGCAGTCGTGTACGCCGATTATAATAATATGATTATCTTCGTTTTGTCTTTGGCGTGGGCAAAGGTGCCCGCGGGACGGTGAGCACTATCATCGCATAATACGATACGACACATTGTTATGATTGTTCATTTTCTACCGTTACAAGATGTGTTCATGCCAATACACGAATGGATCTTCGCAGGAAAAAATTTTTTGTGTCCGTATATAATATTGCCTACATTTAGCCCCTTTATTGCAGTTATCAAAATGTGACAACATTGATAAACCGATAACATAAGTTTCATTATAAATTATAATATTATATTTTATTATATTAATTATAATTAAAATAGTTAAATACATTAATAGTTAATAAGTTATTAAAAAACACAATATCGTAATTTAAAATTTAAAAATACACAATTCATTGAGAATACGCCCTAGTAACACTTGGATTCCAGGGAGTGTAATGGGAGTCTCCCATTAGGCACCAACATTGGATTCCAGCTAAGGAGTCCGTGTAACCGTCTAGGGACATCCCCGGGGAGTTGATATTCATAAAATATAACTTGGCGCATCCTATTATACTCCATAGCTGGAGTCCAGCTAAGGAGTCCATGTAACCTCCTAGGGACATCCCTGGGGAGTTGATATTCATAAAATATAACTCGGTGCATCCCATTATACTCCATGGCTGGAGTCCGGTTAAGGATTCCGTACATCCTCCTAGGAACTATCCTCGGGAATTGAGAATAGTATTTTACTTGGTGCATATATACACAGCACATTGTATTATATATAAACAGCATGTGCAATCATGACTGGAGTCTAGTTGAGTCCATACAACTTCTATGGAATTTCTCAGCAAGATTGCTATATATTATGTGGTGAAGAAATCACTTATTAGAGTATGGTACATATATATTATATACAGTATACACTATACAACTTTGCTGTCATCATTTAATCTAATTTTTTCAAACTATAATAATTGTGTACCGCAAACGGCCCAAACACCCCATTATATTGAATAGCAAGGCTTTAATATCGAGTCGAATTTATAGGAATGAATTAAAGTTTTATATAGATTCCAGTCTTAATATATGATCATATAAACTCTATAGGAGCTTTTTGAGTGTCCTATCTAATAAGAGCTATAAATCTATGTAATATATGTGTATTAATTGTATACAATATTGACAACTTTTTTTTATGGGGTAGTTAATTTATTTTGTGTTTACTATATTTAGTATGTATATAACATGTAGTAAAGTACATCATCAAAGCAGTGGTGATTAATTTAATAATTTAACACAAATAAACACAAAAATTAAATTTGAAAATATAAACATTTGTTTAATTAATTGCAACCAAAATATTTACAAATATAATAAATTACATTTTTAGGTATTTTAATTACATTAAATTATTAAATATTTTGTTTTTCACTAATTTCACTATGAATCATAGGGAATGCAGCAAATGTTCCATTTTCAACTTTATATAAAAAGTATTTGTTTGCAATAGTTTCAACTTTCCAAATTTTCAATTCTGCTGACAAATTTCTTAATTTATAAATGTTGAGGTATGAAGAATTACATGGATATTTATATAATTCAGATTTTACCAAAAACTGTTTTCCTATAATCACTAGTTGTTTTGACTGATATGCAATATTTTCAATAAGTACAAAAGAATCACAGCTTGTACGGCAGCACCAATCTTTTGAATTATTGGCTGTAAATGTTAAACCATTTATTTTTATTTTTTTAAATTGAGGTGGATGACAAGAAGACAGCATTGGCCCATTTTTATGTTGTGACCACATAATTACATCCATCTCTTTTTCAAGTTCAGGAGTTAGTTTGTCACGTATCTCACTTAGTCTTCTAACTACTTGTTGAATTGGATAATTATATGTTCTTATTAGCTTTAGTAACTGCTGCATATGATTTTCAAAGCGAAATGCTGAAAATGTGTCCAATGATCCATACATTTTACAATCTTTGGCAAGATGAATTAATCCGTGTACATTGTGACTAAGGTTATGAACCCCATAAATTATTTTAAATGTAATTACAAAATGTTTTAACAGGTTTTCGGCATATAATAAATGTTCTTCAGTAAGTTCTATGCCACACAATATTGTTATGGCAACATGTAATGTAAGGAAATGTTGATAAGTGTCCATTGATATTTTATTTTTAAGAACAATTGGTCCAATATAAAGCAGAAATGTTCTGAATTCAACGGCTTTCCAGTGTTTATATTCATTAAGAGGTCTCGGCTTCCTTTGGAATTCAATTGGAATATATGATCTAATTTCATTTATCTTGAACGATATTTCTTTCTCTACACTAGATCTTATACGAACATTTAATGGTCCCTCAAACCATAAATTAAGTAATTTTTTTACAACTCCTAAGCATACAAGATGCATATAATCGAGAGGAACATTGGTTACAGGACCAAAGTGTGGAATATTTACCAATGGTGTTTCACCACGATGGTAATCTTCATCATGTTTTTCAATAAAACTTATATCAGTCCTCAGAACCGAACCAACATCAGGAAAACAAATTCTATGGTTTACATATTCACCTTCAGAATAACATTTTGTGCATGATGAATAGCCACTGTGATGTTTAATACACAAAGCAAACGCCTTTGCTGGTGAATCTGCCACAAACATTTTAATTCTACAAGTATAGTTTTTTGAATTGAAAATCAAACCTTCTTCAACAAGAAGTTTAGATTCTTGTAAAAAATCGTGAAAATAGGTAACAACATCCTTTGGCTTACCAGAAAAACTATGATAAAGTCCAATAACAAAAACTTCCTTAAACCCAATAACAGAGCCAAGGATTGGCCACAATTGACTACTGGATGATTTTGATAATGGAAGCCCATCAGTGTTAAATATTATATCAATACTTGAAAGGTTATTATAAGAACTATTGATTTTTAAGAAATTTATAATACAATTTTTTAAGCCAAAATGGTAGTACACTCCAGGTTCTACTACTCGTAGGCAAGTTGATCTTGGTGTAGATAATAGAGTCCGTGGATCAGCTGGAAGATGCTTGAAATATTTTCGCATAATTAAAAGTAAAGACTTTACGGCTTTAGCAGTCACGTTTTCAGTCAATGCCCAGTTTTTTATTTCAGATAAAATATCAAAGTTTTCATTTTGAATATCTACTGCAAGGATGTCATCAATGTCAATCTTATCTTCTGTGGAAATGGTTATTGTATTTGAATCATGATCCATGCCTTCATCAATAAACATTGGAAATTGAAATATGTCATTTGTAATATTAGAAGATTGTTGTTGCTAAAAAAAAAATTACATATAATTACTTGCAAGTTTATGTAAAATATACTTTTATTAAATAATAATGATGTTTACCCAAAATATATAATACATAGATTTTATTAATTCAAAACTTACTTCAACAAGATATTCTGATGCTTGTTCTAAATTATGATCACTATGTTCATTTGAAATTTGTAAAAGTTGTCTTTCATACTCTTGAGAAACCAGTAGTCTCAAATTCCTGGATGTGCAATAATTCAACGGTTTTCTTGACCTAGTTTATTATTAACATTAATATTATGCATTTAAGTATATTTAATAATAATAAATACTTACATTGTGCATGTATGTTGTATACTGATGATGTAACAAACTATTAATATTACATTTATTAAGTGACAGGTACCTTACATGTAAAAATTATTTATCACCATTCAACATTCGCGCAAATTTATGTCTGATACACGATACTACGATATAGGCATATAGCCGACACATGAGTTGAAAACCACGCCAAGTCAATAATTAAATGAGCTGGCGTGCGTAGCATGTTTTAAAATGTCGCTGCCCGTTACAGTTTATCACTTTCTATCACGATATCCCGATCAGCTTATGTTTAATCATTGTTTACTCATTATTCTGTGTAAAGAATACAATATTAATTACCATGTGTTTACTTATGATCTGAAGTCGGAACCACGGTTGTGTAGTATCTTATATATCTATAACCGTGGTCTGAACCTAGGAAACGTTAGATCCTTATTTACCCGTATTATTTAGAAACGTTATTAGTGGGATACTAATCTATGGTACCGGCGTACCGTCCGTTTATATTATTTAATATTTTGTTCATTGTACTTGTACAGTTGTACACTTGTACATTGTGTTTAAATTATCACGAGTCACGACGTTTCTCTATATAGTCTATATTTTGTTATATTTTGTTAACTATGGAATCAAAAGATGATCGTATTCGGTAAGTATCTATATACTATACTAATTACTTAATATTTAGATATATATTTGTTAGTTACGTTATTATAATCATGGTAATATGGCGGCCCAAAAGCTCAATGTTAAGAGGATGTCAACGCACTATTTTGTTTTCTCTCTCTCGCCCACGCGCAGCATAGACAAAATACATTAACGTAGAATTATTCTTACTATGTTATATTTATTAATAAAAAAATAATGATTTTATTTATATAATTTTTGTTTAAGTTACAAAAAATATGCTGTTGTGGAATTTGAAGATGGTATCCAATCAGTTCCAATGAATTGGTTAGCTAAACACGATAAACTGTGTTATTATCCAACACACGTTAAATCAATGTCTAATATTAATCAAATGGTGAAAAACCTAATACCAGTTGATACAAACTGGTCCTTATGTAAATTCATAAATATTCTTGGTTCTAGTAGTAAGTATGAAAGACTAAAATTAAACAGTATATTTATTAGATAGGTACATTTGTTTTATTTGAAAAGTTATTATTTTATTACTTGTGAAAAACACAAGCAGTGCAATTGATTGAACACAGTATAGTGTTTCAAGAAGAACTTAGTTCCTAAATATTTTTATAAATTTAAACATATTTTATGTTCTAATATGTAAATATTTTTTTTTAGATGATTTTAACAGAATTAAAGAGAAAGAGATTGACGCCATTAAATATAATCTATCCGAAGTTGATACTGAAGTAGAAAGTATTATTAAAAGTCAACGTAAAAATAGAGCAAAAAAAAAGTTATTTTTAGAAGATATGGATAATGTTCAACATTTAAAAGGATCAAGTAATATAATTATTTACAATTGGTTTTATAATAAATTGTGTTTTGTACTTCCATGTTTGTAAACATTTTAAAGATAATATGTGTATTCTATTGGTTTTAGGTAAAAACATTGAAACAACTAAGGCAACTAAATTAAACGCTGAAAAGTTACCTATCCTCCCGAAGCCACCAAAATCTTTTACACAACCTCATATAAAAAAAAGTAAGACGGTGTAATTTTCTGAGTTACTTATATAAAATTAAATTTTATCTGTCACATCCCAAGCTTATATGAACATCCTTATTTTTTTATTTCTTATAATTTATTTAATGAATTTTATTATTTAGTTTGTTATATACTATTTAAAAACACTATGATAAAATTGTTCTGATAGTCTGGATGTGCAACGTGTACCTATATCTGATGAAAGTCATCAATTACGCGTATGAGTGTTAATAATTTTAGTTCATTATTATGAAACACCTATATAGATCAAAAACATTATTATTATTATTATTATTATTATTTTTTTTTAATAGGAAATCATACCTGTGCAAATCTTCTATCATATTCTATGGAACCCATTAAAAGTAAGCATAAGTAAAAAAAACTAATGCTAATATTTATATAATAAGTTATAATTAAAACTATTTATTTATTTATATTAAATTTTTTTTATAGCTATTTTTATTGCATTAATATTTCAACTATAGTTGAATAATATATATATTTTTCACTGAGTTATTTTGTTATAATTTTCAGGTTTAAATGAAAAAACTCTAATGTGGAGCAATAATAAAAATTCCGATACAGTTGTAGCATCTACTTCAATGAATAATACAGAACAATTTAAATCATCTAATCTATTATTTAGCAGTGACAATGATGATAGTCCAATCAAAAGTAATTAGGAAAGCTTATTTCAATAAAACGTTAACTATTAAACTACTTTTTTACATTTGTACCTATAAGAAACAGATAATCAAATAACTAGTCCTACACAATCAACAAATTCAATTGATTTTTTCCGTAAAGAATTAGATGGTAAAACTACTAAGAAAAGTAATTATTAATAATACCATCTTTATTTCAATTTTTATAATATACTTCAGAATTTATTTAATTTTATTCAAATTTTGTTAAGGAAAAAACATTGTGACATTTGATGTTAGTCCGTCTATATCAACAAACTCTATTGATTTATTCCCAGACGAAGGCGATGGAACTATAATAAAGAGTAAGTATAAGTAAACTGCTGTAAAAATATATTAATTCTAAATATTCTTTACTAAAATTATATTCAGAAATTACCAAGCAAGCAGTTGTTTCTGCTCATCAAAGTCCAATAACAAGTTCAGTTGAAGTAGAATATAGTGAAACTCCAAATAAGGGTAATTATATTTTTATATAGACACATTTATAATTGTTATGGTAAATAAGAAATAATAATTATTCATTTACTTTACAGTCAAGGAACAATTTAACATTGAAGGAGCTTTGAAGTTTCTCATAAAATCTCAAGTTCAAATGGCTCAAAAGTTTGAGATTATAGAAAATAACCAAAAACAAATTTTATTTTTATTAAATAAAAATATGTGTGATGCTCCAGCAGACAAAAATTGGAATATTGAATTTTCAACCACTTTTCCACTTCAAGATATTCAATCTCTAAATGAAATAGAACAACGTTTAATAACGGATATTGAATTTAAAGAAAAATTGGTATGAGTACAAATTATTTAAAAGGAAGTAGTTGCTCTTAAATTATATTAATCATTAAAATTGTATAGTATTAATTTAAAAAAAAATGTTTGTTTATGTATAGTGATTGTTAGTGATAGTATGTAACAATTGTAATAATTGTTATATTATATACAATTCATTTTATATTAGTACCATAATATTACAGGCAAACAGGATCAGCAGTTTTAGAGGGTTAGATGACAGTACATTTATCAAGTCATCTTTAGATAATATATTCAGCGATAAAATAGGAGTATTAATTTCCTTCACTGGTAGAAAACCATCAAACACGGTTCAAAAAAAGTATGCAATGAAGAGTTCTCTGCTGTATAAACTTATTTGTGGTAATTTAAAAACCCTCTATTATTTGAATTTATCACTAAAAATTAACAAATTATCTAATATTTTTAAATTTTAGATGTTGGTCGTAGTCGTTACAAAAACTTTTCTGATGAAAAAGCTGAGAAAGTCACTAGTAGCTGGTTACGTCATTCAGTAGACCGTCTTAAACGTACAGCGGCACTATTATTACCACAAACATAATAAGAAAGTGGTATTCTTACTTTATTTATATATATTTTATTAATTTTGGTAATTTTTTTTGTAATTTGTATAAGAATTTGTTTAATATTTGTTATGTATCAACATTTATATATTATTATTATTTTAATTATTTTACTACTTACAATACTGTTAAACAAATGGAAAAATTAAATAATTTTATGAAAGTATTTTGTTTTTAATGTTTGTGTGTTATAATTATATAATATAATATATTATATTGGATCAATATTGACTATAAAATAAAGAGTACTCTTTATAACTTTATAAAATATATTATATTTGCATTTTAACTAGGACTATAGACCCCTATTAACTCATTTTCTGGAGTCTTGGCAAGTAATTTAAAGGAGTGGAAAATTCAGATTTGGTAGGGAGAGTGGGGATTCCCGAAGGGAATTTCGTAGGCACTCCCTGGGATTCCTCGTGTTACTAGGAAAGGACTCCCTATTAATTCCTTTTCTGGAGTCCCAGCAAATAATTTGAAGGAACTCCTAAGGAGCGGAAATTCGGATTTGGTAGGGAGAGTCTGGGGATTCCCGAAGGGAATTCCGTGGGCACTTCTGGGGATTCCTCGTGTTACTAGGGACAGTATAAATGTACAACCTATTTACGTGGAACATTATTTTAAATTTTCAATCTTTAGCTATAAAAGGTAAATTATATAATGAAATTTGAAATTCGAAATTCGAACTAATACCCAGATAGCAATTGTGTAATGATATTATTATTATTACAGTACACAAAAAAACATATTTTAACACGTTGATGGACAGTCTTGTGGCCGCCGTCGAAAAAAAACTATCCTTAAAACGACTCTTTTCATTACTGCTATAGCAGTAATATTTTTAGTACTGCTATAGCAGTACTGACCTCCGACATCACATTTTCAATTTAAAAATTACTGCTATAGCAGTATTACATTTAAATGTTCATATTACGAATTGTGTATCCTGTGTTGTACCAATCAAATGAAAAAAAAACAATAACTGTATATATCATTAAATATTATCGAAATATAAATTATAACTTATCAGCTGAAGAATAAAAATGGAAAATACATGTATTTGTATTATAAATACGTGTATACATAAGTTAAAAATAGAGTGCCCGATGGCCCGTTGAGATGTCCGGGGTCAGTAAAATTTCCTTTCTCATAAGAGACCATTGAAAATATCACTGCTATAGCAGTAATGACACTTTTTGGACAGTTTTTATATTACTGCTATAGCAGTAATATTTAAAAACGACCCCTGACATCAACATTTAATATTACTGCTATAGCAGTAATATCGGCAACTGTCCACCAACGTGTTAAAACATTGCAATAAAATTATTGAATTACTTACAAACGAATCAAAACCTATGCAAACAGAAGATATTTTACTAAAAATAAAAAAATAAACTTGAATTTCATCAATTGTCGTCGAGTGAAGGTAATATAATAAGAAAATCCTTACTAAATAATACAAGTGTTTTAAATGTTCTTTCATATCACATTCTTATAGCGCTAAAAGAAAATGAATTTCTTAATATATTGTTGAATTGTATCTTTTAAATGACGATCGTAAGTGAATAATGAATATTGTGTTTTTTTTTTAATTGTGTATTATTAAATTTATTAACTATTAATGTATTTAACTATTTTAATTATAATTTATAATGTAAAAATATCATGTTAGTTGGATAGTTATGTTATTATAATAACATTATTTTTATAACAATATTTGTGTACTATAATAATAAATAATAATAATATCATTACACAATTGCTATCTGGGTACTAGTTCGAATTCTGAAAATATTTATCAAATTTTAAATTGTATTATATAACTTACCTTTTATAGCTAAAGATTGAAAATTTAAAATAATGTTCCACGTAAATAGATTGTACATTTATACTGTATTCTCAATGAATTGTGTATTTTTAAATTTTAAATTACGATATTGTGTTTTTTAATAACTTATTAACTATTAATGTATTTAACTATTTTAGTTATAATTAATATAATAAAATATAATATCATAATTTATAATGAAACTTATGTTATCGGTTTATCAATGTTGTCACATTTTGATAACTGCAAAAAAGGGGCTAAATGTAGGCAATATTATATACGGACACAAAAAATTTTTTCCTGCGAAGATCCATTCGTTGCCAATACCCCGCACTCGGCTAATAAAGAATATCAAGATTATCGTGGTAATTTAGTAGATCGCGCCACGGGGCAGTGAGTTTTTCATATTTTTGATAAGAAACTCTTCCGCCGAAATAACGGGCCTCGTCGCTTAACCATTCTATCTTAAACCGTGATAATTATCATTTGTCCTGTTGCTGTAAATTAATCTGATATAATTATAATATAGTTTCCTTGGATTGAACGTTTTTTCTGTAAGTATGCTGATCTGTAGGTTATTACCTACAACATTATATATTAGGATTTTAAATTAAACACATTTATGAATAGGTATTTCTCACAAATACCTACATTTTATGATATTTTTTTTTAAAAAGTGTAGGTAGACTAGGATAAAATACAACTTAAATTTAATGCTATCTTCATTTCAATTGTGATATTACCATCAATTAAACAATAATTATCATTATGTATTTATTATAAAATCAATACTTTTACCATTGATCAAATATACAGTAAATTTAATCAATTCTATTACTTAGTTTAGCTACTGAATCCAAACACTAAAGTAATACCATGTGTATAGTATGTTCTCACAAATATTTTCCTGTCTACCTTTTCAAATTTTACAAAGAGCAAACAACCACACTATGTTAATTTTAAGATACTAATATACTTTTTTTATTCAGTTACTTTTGCTTATTGAAATCACTATATGATATTTGTAAATTGTAATCCATTTATAATAATAAATTCTATGATAGACTCTAAATAGTACTGGATATTAATTTTGTACTGATACCTAAATGTAATTTTTTTTTAATCTAGAAAAACTAATATTTCTGACAAAAATGGACAAAAAAAAAAGTTCTCAAACTAAAAGGTAACTGGTACTATACTCTATTCAGAATAAGAACAGACCAGTCGAACACGTCGTTGTTTGTACATCCATCCCCACTACGGCTGCCTTCACAAATATTCACTGTTGGTTACCGAATATTTAACGAGTCGGCCAAAAAGTGGTCTGGCAGCACCAACCTCAGTTCCGATGCGGTCTGTTCTTATTTTGAATACTGTATATACTACTATAATATTATATACTTACCTTTTAAAATACTTTATTTTGATATTTATCTATTAAAAATCAAACGTTCAAAAAGTCCACATGTGAGATATATCAGGGAAACCTGACCAATTCTGTCAGACCTAAACCTTGAATAAGTATCTATACTTATCAAATTTTGTTTCTTGAAAATTCTTAATTTTACTAAAATGTTAAAACAAAATATTTAAACTTTGAACTGGTGGACTCTTTGAGTTAGGCATTCTAGACATAAATAGTAATTGATAAACATTGTTCAAAATTTAATTTAATAAAGACTAATGTAATTGATTGCTTAGTTAATTGTTCTTAGTTTACGTACTAAGTATCGGTGGCGTATTTATACTCTGTTGGCCGAGAGAACAAGCCGCGGCCCGATGAAAATCGGTTTGTTCTGCTCATCCCATAGCTGCCAGCGGTCACTTATTGTCGTCGCAAATTTTGGAAGGGGAAATTGGTGAGTGAACAGCCGTCAGTATACATGCGCAGATCCGGCATGTTATTTCGGCTAACAGAGTATAGGAATTTTTCATCCAGGGTCAACCCTTTGATCAACCCCCCTGGTAAAACACCATTGTGAAGTATATATATATTATGATATAATATACATTTCCATGTTGCATTTTATATTTATCTATATATTCTGTATATTATCTTTAATTTAGAAGAACTATTAATGTTAATCGTCTTTTTTCAACATCTATATTTTAGAGTTTTCGTTGCATAAAACTATTTATAAAAATTAAAAATAATGTTTATATTTATATTTAAATTTGTAATACATTTATTTAGGAACATAGTAGAATCAACAGATAATAAAAAGAAGGATGTAATGAAGAACCAAGTTAAAGATAAGAAACAAGGCAAAAAAGATAAGTATGTTCTAAGAACTTATGAATATATTTCTTTTAGAATAGTTTTCTTTTTAACTATCATATTTAATTACTATTTAACATTTTCAATGTCTAATTGATTTTATACTGTTAAACTATAAACTTAAGCATTATTTTTGATACATTTTTGTGGGCTTAGAATATCAAAGATAATTACAGAAATTTCTTTATGTGTTTGTAAATACTAAATTGTAATAAAAATAAAAATAATATCATTAATATTAAATTAATTTATTTTTAACTAGACCAAGTGACGATGAAGATAACATAAATCAAGGCGGTAATCAATCTTTTTGTGAAGATCAAAAGGATTCTAAAAACATTATTTCTGAAAAAGATTTGGAACCTAAATCATTGGACTATGATAATGAAGAAGGGTAAGTTGTCAGTAATTTATATTCATCACTTGTCTCCGTTTACTTAAAAAATTGTGTGTATCTGTCATCATCTAAATAAACAAAAAAAATAATAAGAATCAGGTATTGATTATTGTTTGGTAGCTGAGTCATTATTTTATTCTTTTAGATTCTAAGTAATGGAAAAATGAATGTATTGATTTTACAATGTGTATATTTTTGTTATGTGACTGTGTATATATGATTTTAAGAAGAAAAATTCTTGTGATTCAATATTGAGAGTTGTTTCTGATAGCATATTGACTAGCTTCTAGCTGGTAATTTTGGGAATGCAAAATTGAAAATGCCCAGTATTTTTCAAAATAATCAAGAAAAACAAAAAAAAAATATTAAGGAAACTGGCATTTTTATGCAATACCAGTTTTAAACAATAATGATTTTGTTTTTTGTTGTAACTCAGTGATTCCCAGTGTTGAGGGCTTTTTAATTATGATGGGGGATTTAATTTTATTAGATTTAAGAATTTTGCATATAAAAATCTGAGGAGGGGGGTGGTGGTGGTATGAGATTTTTCAAAATCTAAAAAGGGCGTTGAGTAAAAAAAGGTTGGGAATCACTCGTGTAACTCATGAACGAATACGTGAAATGTTGGACAACTTGTCCAATACATTTTTATACTAGTATCTTTGTTTGTGATATAATTTTAAAAATATTTTGATTATTTTTTAACTATTTAAAGATTTGAAATTTTCCATTTTTTTTCTATACATTTTGATAAATAAATTTATTGGTAAAAAGCTTGAAAAATTAATACAAAGTTTCTATTAAGTTGCCGTTATTGCTATTTGAACATATCAAAAATATATAGAATCTATATATTATAGATGAAAATATAGACCCATTTTTTTTTTAGACATTTAAAGTTGAAATTAGATATTTATACAAAGAATAATGATTTTAGTTTTTTTTTTTAAAAATTCAAAAATATTATTCTTGGAAACTTGAGACTTTTACAGTTTAACATATAATATTATATTATTTTATAACGACATTTTCAAAACATTTAGATTAATTTCTATTGTCTATTTAGTATTCATGCGGCAAAAATATTTATACCTTTCTTCAGTGGGTCTGTACTCTGTATTGAGTCATAAATTAATTACAATAATATATAATATAAAATATATACTATCAGGGGCGCCCGCAAAAAATTATCTCAGTCGGTGCAAAATTAAATTTATGCTATATATACATATGTATACGTACTAGGTAGTTACTTATTTACATTATTATACACTGATTTTTTTGTTCATTAAAAAAATCCCAGTGGGTGCGGCTGTACATTATTATAATAATTAAATATTTATAATATAATATGCATTGTATTCAAAAATAACTAATTCAACTAATAGTATTACATAAGTTGCTTATTCTAACAGAATACTATTGCACTTTAGTAAGAGTTGAAAATGATATTAAAAAAATGTAATTGTTCAAAACATTTTTTTCTGGGTACCCTAATATTAAAATTAAATTAATTAAAATAAATACAATTTTTTTCTCAGTTTATGAAATATTTCAAAAAATGCTAAATGGGTTAAATATTCTCTAAGTCATGAAATATTCTCAAATATGCAAAAAAAAACTTTTTTCTATGCATTCAGAATTGAACGAATTGTCCACATTTTGTACTCTCATAAGACTGCATAGGCCCAGTAACGATATGTAAAAACATTTAAATCCAGTCTTTATTCATTACTTACATTATTTTACTTAAGTACCTATATAATGTTTAAATAAATTGTGAACATGCCATCGTCTAAAAAAAAAAAGTTCAAAAGTTGAATCATTATTTAATTATTTTAAAATATAAAATTTCAGGAAGTTAAACTTTACATAAATAATCACAATTGTTTTGGATAGTTCAAAATATTTAAACAATCAGCATTCATAAATTTCAAATACTTACAATAATTATTAATATTTTATATTATTTTAAATAGACAGAGGAATAAAAACAAAAATGAAAATAGTCAGATAAAAGTTCATGGTAAAAACAACATTAATTTGCATGAAGATCCACTTCATTCATCAGTAAATGAAGATTCAAAAGTGTATGTTGTCAATTATTAATATTTATGTAATCAGCATTCTTAAAAGTCATTAACGTTTTATATTATTTTAAATAGACGGAGGGATGACAAAAAAAACAAAAAAACAAGCCATCAAAGTTTGAGTGGAGAACAAAAAAGTCATAAAAATGTTCAAAAGCAAAACAAATGGCCTGAGAAAGATTGCATTGATGACAATATGAAACAAGCTCATGATAGAAAAATTGATTTGCATAAGTATACACGCAAATCAGAGGGAGCAGAAAGGTATGTTGTCATTTATTAATATTTATCTTCTCTTACTTACATATTACTGTGGAACCTTATTAATCCGGTCTAATTTGGGCTCATGGTTATCTGAATTAATAAAAGTCTGGATTAAAAAAAATAATCTAATGCATGGTCTAAGATACTTGTTTAAACACACAAGTTCAGTAAAAAAAATGTATAATATTACAGATTTAATTAATATAAAGGTTATTTAGTATACAACATAATATAATGCCCTAAAAAATACAAAGTAACTAGTTATTCTGTTTATTTTTCTGATAATACTAATAATACTATGTAATACAAATTATGTGTGTTCATGTTGAACGTTACAGCCGATCTGATATTTGCGTCATTATTTTATTATTTTTATATTACTTGTTTTAAGCCATTGTTTCGGACACTAACATGCATTTATGTAATCAGCATTCATAAATCATAATAGTAATAAAATCATTAATATTTTATTATTTTAACTAGACCGAGGGATAAATACAAAAATAACAATGGTCAAAAGCAGAGCAGATTTTCTGATGCATGGTATGTTGTCAATTATTTTAATTCATCACTCTTCTTCTTTTATTAAACTTTATTTATTTAAATTTATAACAAGTTATCTATCGTTGTCTTAAATAAATCGAGAATTATAATGATTATTGTATAATAGTTCCACTAACTATATTATTAACTTGTTCCTTTAAAAAATATTTTTGTTTCTACTTTATGCCTTAATATTTATCAATTTAAATTTTGAAGACAAATTTAACATTATTTTGCAATATATTATTCAGTTTAAAATATATTTAAAAATGTTTCATTGTTATTTAAGTGTTTTAAAGGAAATAGATGAAGACATTTTCAAATTATCAAAGGAATATTCTCTTGCTCATTGTGTTGCTGAAGACTTACGAATGGGTGCTGGCATAGCTGTTGATTTCAAGTAAAAATGTCTTATTTTTTTTAATGATGTATACTCAGTTGTAATTTATTTAATTTACTTTCTAGAAATATCTTTGGTGGTGTTGGTAAACTAGTTGATCAGAAATTAAAAATAGGTGATGTTGGTATAGTTAAACGTCACGATCAATATGCATTTTATTTGATAACAAAAAAAACTAGTAATGGTAAACCTACAATGATTACAATGGAAAAAGCGCTCCGTTCACTTTTAAACAAAATGAAAGAATACAATTTAACAAAATTAGGAATACCAACAATTGGTTGTGGATTGGATAGACTTGATTGGTCTGATACAAAATCGCTCATAAATAAAATATTTTCTGGATCTGGTATTCAGATAACAGTATGTGTACCTTCAAAAGTGAGTGTTACAAATAATCACTGCTAATTACTAAATATCTTGGTACGTTTATTATTATATAAATATTCTCAGTTACTAGATTCGAAAAAACCGCCGAGATTAACAGTTTACATTACACCAAAACATTTATGGGAAATGGAAACCGAAACCATTATTATTTTATTTATTGACTTAGAAAAAACATGCAACGAGAATTGGACAGATCATATAGTAGATAAAGTTGACGCTAAATACCCATTCAAAAAAAAGTATTTATATTTTTATTTAATTTATTCCATATATCCATTGACTTTTAAGACTTAGAAAATAAGAAATTATTGAATATATTAGTAATAAAAGCCATTTTGTTCTAAAATAAAAATATTAAGTATTCTGTAAGGTAGGTTAGGACAGGTCCTTAAAACTATTATTAGGTAATCAGATCATTGTTTCTGTACTACCATTAGTCAAGCATTTTTAATAATAAAAAAGTTATTTCAAAATAATGATGTTCTAGTACTCTTGGTAATAAATAGGTTATCACAATATGATGAATATCCATATTCCAAGTAACTTATGGTCCATGTTCAGAATTTTCTTGTCATTCACTAAATTAATTAATATTGATAAGCTAAAATTATTTCACTATTCATTACTCATAATCAACCCACATTGGAAGAGTTGAATATTTTCAACTATTTGGTGTCATAGAGCCTTAACTGTGTTAAGTAAAAATCTAGTATGTAAAGAGATAAACAATTTTGATTCAAGTTGCCATAATTTTGTATAATATTTTTCGAATAGAACTAGCATTATACCGTCACTAATTGGTTTCTTTTTTATGACAATTAACTTATCCGCTTATTATATTTTTTTTAAGATTTTAAGTTTAGTATATTTTCAAGTCATGGAAGGGGTAATGGAATTTTACAATTTAAATTAATTACAATATCATTATACATCTTGTATGTCAAATAATAAATTAATTGTATATTATTTGTTTGTAGCTTATTAAGTGATATCAGAAATAAGAAGCCTAACCCTGGTGACATAACAGAATACAATGTTAAGAATGAATATATAATTTGTATATTTACCACTGAAAATACATATTACGGTTCTCTAGAAAATGGATTTAAAACCATACAAAAAAAATACAAAGAATATAAGTATTTGGCTATTCAAAGTGACCTTATTGATTACCCTAGCGACAATTTTCAACGTATATCATGGATAGTATTAATATCTCGTTCGGTTATTCACTCTTCTGAATTATGGTTATGTGGTGATGCCAAACAAAATAATTACAAGGTGAATTATGATGAATATTGTAAAAATCTACTCCCTATGAATAATTCATTTCAATATAATTCTCCAAATCAAAAATACAACAGATATAATAATGATCGTCGTAGTAATTTTAATACAAAAGAAACAAGTAATCAACATTGAGGGTATCAAAATAGTTTCTATAAAAACAGATACATGAATCTATATGGCCACCTGAATAATAAAACTCCTATGACATATTGATCATGTGATACTTGTATAATCTGTTTAAATAAATATGTCATTATTTCCAATTAATCAACATAATCTTTTACTTGAAGTAGTTATTTATATTTAATGTTTCAAATGTTTTCTAATCCTACTGTAAAAAATTGTTTTTGTAATGTATTAAATACTAATTATAATATGTTTTGTATTTAAATATCTATTGAAAGTTACATTGTATAATAAAATACATTATGTTTATTAATAAATGTTCTTATTTAATATTTATAAATAATTTATTTACACACATTACATGTTACAGCGTATTATAATGATGTAGCCAGGGTTTAAAAATGGGGAGGTGGGTGGGGGAAAAATATTTTAAAAAAATATTCAACAACTAACAATAATGTTTTATTATAGACTCGTAGTGGATTCATAATACCGAATAGGTTACATTTGAACTAAATAGATCAGTGGCGTAGCCAGGAGTTACCCAAGTAGAGGGGGGGATTTTGATATTTTTTAGGCGTATCACTAAAATATGGTACAGTTTTTAAACTATTTTGACTTATTTTATAAATTATTATTCAGTTGGAAATTCATAAATTTGTTTTCTTTTCATAGCTAACATTAGAAATTTGAATAGAAGACTCCCCACAAATTGTTCTACTTTTAACAAAAAAAATTGCACTGAAAAATCATGCTATTTATAGCCTCTAGATATTTTCAATTGTTATAAATTTCTTTTTAACTATTAAATTTGAATTTATGCAAGACATATAGGCTGACATAACGTCTCCACTCAGAATTGTTTTTCGTATAAGATGATTTCAAATATATAGCACATGGTCCATACAAAGACAAGACGACAATTATATACTATTGTACAGCAGAGCTGTACCCACTTGTCTACCTATTTAAAAATCTTCATCCGCAATATGTCTGATACTTTTTAATACATTATAGATATCAACATGACCTGCCAGTGCCATGGCTTCAACTAAATCAATATTTTGAAATTGAATGAGTTTACTGAGAGGTATGACGGTTTCGCCGCCCGGAGAGCGTACGACGGAATCGAACCCGGGACCGCTTGCAGTTTATAAAATATAATCGCTACGAAAACAATTGTGTTGGTGACAGTATTGTTTTCATAATACCCACATCGAATTTTATATTTCGTATATTATTATTATTATTCTGCTCGCCGTGTCTTGCACGAACTAAAAATCTCACATCCTAAAATGGTTATAAATTGTTTAAAAAAAATAACAATTTTTAATAGTTATTTTTTTAATCTTGAAGAGAATTCGACGAGAAAATTTTTTTTTCGAACGTTGACTAACAAAATATGAAATTCAATTCAGTATAACAAAAAAAAACCTTAGATACATAATATTATTGTGAATAAATGGAAGCCCGTTGAATAAAGTGACCAGCGTAATCAATGTACAACGCAATTCGATAACTTATATAATAATTGAAACAATAAACCCCTAATTATGTGAGCTGAAACACAATTGTTTATAATATAAGGCAGACAAATACGAACTGTATTTATTTTTAATTAATGGTAGTAGGTACATTCCCACATTACAGATTATTTATTTATTTATTCATTCATTAATTAATTAATTTATAATAAATTAATTATTAATATATAAAGGGGTTGAACGTTGAACCCAATTCAAATAGTGATTTCTTAACGAAGTCGGGTACTTATTATTTAACGTCATAGCTCTTAATTTTATTCCGTAATTTCACAATCAATGGTTCCGACATACTATTTTTATTACTCGTAGCCTAGGGCCATAACTCATAAGTAAAGACCGGATTTATATTCTCTTAAAATACCCAAAATATGATATATTAATATATATTAATATGTTATTCTCTAAAAAACCTTCAAATATTCTCATTATATTCTCTTAAAAATTAAAAAAATATGCAAAAATAATCAAAAAACATCATTATATGCTTTAATATGCATTTATTTTTTTAAATTTTATTTTCAACTATATTTTTATAGTGAGATATTAATTAGGTGTTAAGAGTTGCATATTATACCTAATGGAATAGTATTGCACTTTAGCAAGAGTAAGAAGTTGGAATATAATATAAATATAACAGTATAGGTAATATTAAAACACAAAAACAAAATTTTGATACTTGAATAATTGATAAACTTATAAGTTGATCTTATCAGTAGATATACATAGATAAACCTTGATAATACTGAGTGTTTTATTTTTATCAAAATTAAAAAAAAAAAATAAATTGTAAATGGTCAAAAAATTTTTTTCAGAGTACCGTAATATTAAAATTATTAAAAATAAATACAAATTTTTGCTCACAATTTACGAAATATTCCAAAATATGCTAAATGGGTTAAATATTCTCCAACCCATGAAATATTCTCAAATATGCAAAAAAACTTTTTTCTACGCATTCAGAATTGAACGAATCGTCCACATTTTTTACTCTCATAAGACTGCATAGACCCAGTAACGATATGTAAAAACATATAAATCCGGTCTTTACTCATAAGGCATTATGTCATTTAATCTTTTCGTAATCTCCTATGAAATTTTTTTTTTGTATTATATTCAAGTAGTATGTATTGTATGTTCACAGTCAGCTTTTCCACGGTAAAAAAAAAGTTCAATAAGGTGGAATGTTCCACTTGGAGCACTCCGATTTACCTTGTGACACAATAAGGTGATTATACACACGTTGTCCACCTACTTGCCGCTTGCACGAAAATATATTTTACCGTATTCAATTTTTCACTGTTTTTTTTTGCCAATATTTTATAAATTTTAATAATTTATTTTTTCACACCAAATTTTTTTTTATTTTATTTCATAATAATTATTTCAAGAAAAGAACATAAATTAATATGAAATGAAATAAAATAAAATTTGGTGTGAAAAAATAAATTATTGATATGAATTATTGGCAAATAGGTGCGGACAACGTGTGTCTAATCACCGTATTGTGTCACGTAGTAAATCGGAATGCTCTAAGGCATAGATTCTTAACCTTTTCTGGGCCATGGACCCCTTTGAAGTATAAAATATAATCACGGACCCCCCCTCCAAGAAAAAAATAAAATATATAAATAAATAGGTAAATAAAATTTTAATTTTAATATTTAATTTTTTTTAATGATAAATCTAAGACTTAATACTATATTCAATTATTGGTAATTATCACTTTTTCTTATAGCCAAAAACCAATTTTAATGTGACATTTTCTGTTGTTTTGATTGTAATATTGCCTTGAAATCTGGGACCATATTGAACAGAGTAACACGCATATTGTCCTTAATATCCAATCAATTTCTTGCTTTATTTTAATTGTGACCATTGTAAAAAAATCCAGACTCACAGAGATAGGTAGTAGGAAATGGAATAAAAAATGTCATTGCCATGGTTACAGCTCGCGGATAAGCCTTTGTCAATGAACACCAAAATTCGATTAAATTTTTTGTTTGAAAATCGTGGTGTGCCATTTCATTTGATCTTAAATCAATTAATATGTCTTTAACGAGGTCTGAATCATTAATTGTATTTAATTCCACTAGAAAAGGATTGTGTATCCATGTTTCTGATTTCGAAAATGTAGTATCTAAATAATTGAATGAAATTTAAACCAAATTAATTTTCAAGCACAACTAGATTGTTGCTTAGTGGCAGAATGCGGGCAAGACATTATTAATTTTATCTTAAAAACGCTATCGAAACAAATTTATTTTCGCGTAATCCAAAAAAACTCACAGTCACCCCGTGGACCCCTGAGTAACCATCTATGGACCCCCGGTTAAGAACCTATACTCTAAGGGGAACATTCCCACTTGAAATTTTTTTTACAGTGAAAAAGCTGACGGTGAACATACAAATACATACTACTTATTGATTAAAAATTAACTAAATTTATTAATATTATACATAGGTAGTTGATAAACAGTGTACGATTGAAAAACTTAGGTAACTTACTTACCTATTAGCTGTTTATTGTATTTTAGACCATGCATTTCTAAACTCTGTTTAAAACCATCAGCTTCCATACCTGTAGCACTCTTTTTCCAATTTAAAAAAAGGTGCTCTGCTGTACAGTAGGTTACAAGTGGGTCACTGTCACTGTATATAATAGAAGGTATTAAATTTGAATTCAATGATAAAATATCATGGTATAAGAAAAACGATTCTGAGCGGAGACGGTATGTCAGTCTAGGTATAAGACATAGTATATACTTATTTATCGTATTAAAAAAAATTTACCTAAAATAGGTACCTATAGTAAATTCCAAATTAATCTTATTACAATATCCATTAGGTACTTATATAATGCTTTATACGTCAACAACAAACCCTGATACTATCACAGTCCATACTCCATAGATATATAATAGTGTAGGTAGGTACTTTAGAAGTTGCAAGTACCCACGAATAATATTACACAATCACAACAAAATAACTAAAATAGTTATTCTAGGTTTTTTTTTATGTAATTTTGGCCAAAGTCGAACTTAAAATGACTATAAAAATAAACTGTGCTTATGTATGTTTTAGGTTTTTTGGTAACAGTATGTCAGTATGAACTATTTATGAGAACCTTTGTTTTAAATTTTCAATTCTAAGCTATAAAAACTGAATATTTTATAATTTATTAATTAATTGATTGATAATTTTAAAGATTTTGATAAATTTTGTCAAAGTTCGATCTTTAAATGCTTATAAAAAAAAAACGTGCCTATGTATTTTTAATATTTTTCAACTGCTATTGTAACAATATATCAGGAGCCTTGTATTAAATTTTTACATTTTTTGGCAAAACAGATAAAACTTTATTGATATTTACAGAAAAAAAAACTAAAACAAATTTAAAGCTGTAAATGTCCGTAAACAGCTCAAAAAGAGTCAAAATATTTTCAAAATTATATGGTGTATAGG